CAAGGTTGTAGAAGCAACTATATAATTGAAAACTCTTACTCTTTGGCTTCTGTATTTGAATGTTGCGAATTCATGTTGTTGACATATATGATACGACAATACCGCCAAACACTCTAATGCATGTGCACAACTTCTGGTGTTATCATTTGGAACAGTTTGTCTCTCTGAATATAAACATTTTCAGTTATAAACCATTTTCCGAGCGGAATGAGGAATCAGCAATGAATATAATTCATATAATTCATAATCTAAAGAGCAAATATGTCCGCTGAGAATGGCCAGATTGTTTAGACTTCAGAGGAAACCCACACGCAATACTGGCAAGCTTTCAAATTGATTCTGTGCCAATCAGAACATTGCGTGTATTGGTATATCGTCGCTCATTGGCTCGTCTGTTGGTTAATACTAAATTAACTTTTATTTGAATGACACTTCGCACGTTCGCCGTTGGTAATTTGAGAACTCTGACATGGCGGCTGACAACGGTAGAAGCAGACCATGCATCTCAATACATGAACAGTTTTTATATGGGGAGTAAAACGTATTGACAAAGTTTAGTATAATTTTATAGCACACGCTTACAGATTAAGTAAATGTTCTACAATGTAACTTATTCTGGGTGCAAGGAGGACTTATCAAAGACTATGTTTTGGAAAGAATTTGCCATGTGAAAAGTGACACGCCGTTAGACATTGAATATTATCTTACGATATAAAGACTAAAGAGGGTGTATAAATTATTTTGGATCCAACCTGGCTTTCAAAGAATTGTAGCATTAAAGGCTAAGTACGGACATTAGCGCTGAACAGGACTTTACAACGACAACGCTATAGTGAAGGTATGGTGTGCTATATTAAAATACGTTTTGCTGTTATATGCATCGTGTTTAATATTCTTTTTTTTATTATAATATTTAAGTAGGGAGTCCATATCTCCAAGGATTCAGTTATTGACTTTATATTAAATACTGTCGTGTTTGCTCTATTGTCATTTCGCTTATTTTCGTTTAGCTTTAGTTTTATTAAATTTGCATCACGATTTGTCTGCTGCATTGTTTGGCCAGTTAATATAAACAAATTGTATCAAAGGAAAAACCTCACAGAATGCTTTCATTCGGCCACAATGAACCAGTGTTAATATTTAGCCGTTTTATTCTATGTCCATCAGGGTCCAGTCAAAGGTGAGTTTATAGCGCCAACCCTGTTAAAATTTAACTTGCTGTTTTAGTTTGTGTATTTCTGCATGTCTGTTTATGTATTTCAAAACTGCAGAGAAATATTAAAACTCCGATCCAGACAAGATCTCTGATGAAATATTTCCAAATTTATAAATAAGTCTGCAAGTTGGCTTTGAATTTTAGCTTAAGCTGGGGTTAAGCTAAGTTAGCTAACCCAGCTTTGAACAACCGGCCCCAGATAGCTAAAATTTAAATGCCACAGACCCAATCACTGTTGACAAATTCGTCAGACCAAGCCTTGTGTCAATGGTTCAAGCCGGGTAGTTATTAAAATGAGTATATATTAAAACATAAGAATAAGATCTAATATTTTCCTTACACCATAATTATGCAATTTTGGTGATTTGAACTATCAAATGAAACATATTTATTATACATAATACCACAGTCGTTCGAATGTCAAGGTGAACGAGAAACAGGGTGGGTGCCACACTCTTTATAGTTTGCTCATGTCCTTGCCTAACTTAGAAAATATATATGTATGTATTGTTCATCCGACATTGGATCGCAATACCAGAGTCAAAGGCTATTTGCCAGACAGTGGCTGACACAAGTTATCCTTGTTTGTTCAATGTGTGGTTAAGTTGTGTAGATGTCTGCCTACCGTGTCCTAGGTTACAGTACATATTGAATCACAAGGTCACCCTTAATTTGTTTTGTCAAGTTGCATTGTGCACCAATGTGCTCCACTTTATTACTTTACTCTGTCTAATGCCAGATGATTTTACTTACTCAAGGTCTCCCATGAATGGGTTAAAAACTATTCTGCTGAATGGGTTAATTGTATGTACAGTACTGTATATTAGGTTCTGGGATCAGGTCAGCTTTCATACAGTGTTTAAATTGTGGCACTATCAGACGATGGCATTGTCCACCTATAGAAGGAATTTGGTATAAATATTGTTTGTACACAATTTCTGTTTTTTTGGCAGTCAAATCGCCCATTTGGGCACTTTCTCGATATATGAGCAACTGAAATAGCCAAATCATAATACTGAAGCTTAGTGATTGCAAAGACTAAAATTATACCATGCCCACTATAAGACCAGTATATTGCAGTTTTTTGTCTTATTACTGGTAATTGCGTAATAAGTATACAAGTTGCACGGGCAGGTTGGACAGGTAAAAACGATGAAAAGTTTATCATAATTGCAAAATTTATGCAATGCATATGTTATACTCCTGGCGAATTATGCACACATAAGCAAAGCAACAAGGTAATAGGGTAATAAGGTAATAAGCATGCAGGGGAATAAGCACACATAAGCAAAGCAACAAGGTAAAAGGGTAATAAGGTAATAAGCATGCAGGGGAATAAGCACATATAAGCAAGCAATAAGGTAACAAGGTAATAAGCATGCTGGGGAGAAAGCACACATAAGCAAGCAATAAGGTAATAGGGTAATAAGGTAATAAGCATGCAGGGGAGTAAGCACACATAAGCAAGCAATAAGGTAACAAGGTAATAAGGTAATAAGCATGCAGGGGAATAAGCACACATAAGCAAGCAATAAGGTAACAAGGTAATAGGGTAATAAGGTAATAAGCATGCAGGGGAATAAGCACACATAAGCAAAGCAACAAGGTAATAAGGTAATAAGCATGCAGGGGAGTAAGGACACATAAGCAAGCAATAAGGTAATAGGGTAATAAGGTAATAAGCATGCAGGGAGTAAGCACACATAAGCAAAGCAACAAGGTAATAGGATAATAAGGTAATAAGCATGTAGGGGAGTAAGCACACATAAGCAAGCAATAAGGTAATAGGGTACTAAGGTAATAAGCATGCAGTGGAATAAGCACACATAAGCAAGCAATAAGGTAACAAGGTAACAAGGTAATAAGGTAATAAGCATGAACGGGAATAAGCACACATAAGCAAGCAATAAGGTAATAGGGTAATAAGCATGCAGAGGAATAAGCACACATAAGCGAGCAATAAGGTAACAGGGTAATAAGGTAATAAGCATGCAAGGGAATAAGCACACATAAGCAAAGCAATAAGGTAATTTGTTATATAGCTGGTGTCCCAGGAATCCCCCCCCCCCACAATGGGGCGAAATTCCTAGGAAATTTCCCCTTTAGAAACGTCACCTTTCCTTTAGGATTTTCTTCCTCCTTTAAGAATTTCGCCCTACTTAGCAGTTGCATGGGATAATTATTACATGGCTTTAGTCGTTTGAAATCAGTATCAATTCAAAATTGTTAAGTCAAGAATACAAATTTACAATTACATGTATCGAAAGGGCATTACAGTAGATCAATAGGACTTATGACTCTTCACAGCACACCATGCAGTGTTAATCATTAAACTCATTGTTAAAAAGTAATCACCGTGGTGGTTTTGTAATTATTGGTATTGTCAAAACTTTTTTTTTTAACTGACACATGCATAAACTATACTTTTTTATAATCAAACCGTTTAATTTCATTATAAAGAGCACTTTTGCAGTATTCACAAGTTATTCATTGACATTGGTTGAAAATAATTGAATTGGTTAGGTAATTCTTATACTGATAGATCATGTTTATGGTATTTGGTACTATGGTATTTGGTACTATGGTATTTGGTGCTATCAGCTATAAATTTACTATCATGTTTACAGAAGAATGCATTTAGTTTCATTGTTATTATTAAAGTAGTCATGCAGTAACATGTTTACGTGGAAGAACCATATTTTGAAAAATATAATTAAAGCGGCATATGGTAAAACGCGGACTGGACTGGTAAAACGCGGACTGGACTAGTAAAACGCAGACTGGACTAAGATTAGTAAAACGCGGACTGGACTCTATTAGTAAAACGCGGACTGGACTCTATTAGTAAAACGCAGACTGGACTCTATTAGTAAAACGCGGAATGCCGGACTAGGACCCCAAATTCACGCCAAAATGGCAGCGAGCTTTAAAATCCCAACAAGTGTGAAAGGAAAGGCAAAAAAGGATCCGGGGTTGCCAAAGTTTGATTGGAAACCTTTCGAAAAAGAAAAGAGTTTGAGTTGCGGTACGTTGGGGTCCGTATACCTAGGAAAATACAAAGGAAAACCAGAAAAAGTGGTTACTAAAAAGATAATGTCTAATCGATTGACTCGAAATCCCGTTTCGTGAAAGAAACCGCACTGTTGAACAGTGCAAATGGCCACGGGAACATAGTCCGGTTCCCATGAATTTTGTAAAGAACCGCTCAGTAATGATGCATGGAGCTATTCTTGCTTCGATTTTTGCCCGTTTGGAGTTGCAAAAAGCCTTTGCACACTAGAAGATTTTGTCCATTTTGTAGACGACGAGTTTGACTTTGCCTCCTTCGCAGACTTGCTGCCAACATGTGCCAAAGATGTTGTCGACGGTTTGAAATATTTGCACAGCAAGAATATCGCTGGCACCAGGATCTGAAACCAGGAAATATATTAGTTTTAAATCGACACTACAGCAGCACATCCCTTTAATGAAGATGAGTTTGCCGAAGATTATGGTGAATGCCCTGTTGTTTGTAAACTGGCTGCATGCATGACTTTGGCTTAAGTCGGTCTCTCGACTTACAAACCAAGTCATTTTTTATGTTAATGAAATCACCGTTTTGGCTTCTCCGAACTTTTCTCACCTTGCATTTTTTGGCTTGCATTCTTTGGCATAATGTGTGTCATATATCATATACTTGAAAAAAGCATGCACTGAATGAAAATTAATTAGTGCAAAGAGATTATCTTAATTCATAATATTTATTAAATTATAACGATATTCTTGCTGTGCAAATATTTCAAACCTTCAACAACATCTTTGGAACATGTTGGCAGCAAGTCTGCGAAGGAGGCAATGTCAAAGTCAAACTCGTCGTCTACGAAATGGACAAAATCTTCTAGAGTGCAAAGGCTTTTTGCAACTCCAAACGGGCAAAAATCAAAGCAAGAATAGTTCCATGCATCGTTACTGAGTGGTTCTTTACAAAATTCAAGGAACCGGATTATGTTCCTGTGGCCTTTTTCACTGTTCAACAGTGCGGCTTCTTTCACGAAACGGGATGTCAAGTCAACGGACATTATTCTTTTGGTAACCACATTTTCTGGTTTTCCTTTGTATTTTCCTAGGTATACAGACCCAAACATACCGCAACCCAATTTCTTTTCTTTTTCGAAAGGTTTCCACTCAAACTTTGGCTACTCTGGTTCCTTTTTTGCCTTTCTTTTCAGACTTGTTGGGATTTTAAAACTCGCTGCCATTTTGTCCCATTTTGGTCAAATATGGGTGCAAAATTGTGATCCTAGTCCGCGTTTTACTAATAGAGTCCATTGAACATTTATTTAAACAGGGTAAAATCTTCAGTGTATGTATAGGTACTGTTTACATGCATCTACTTGACTAATTTTAATACTAAATACTATATATAAAAACACACTGATTTCCAAGATTGCCGTCTGGGAATCCCATTATGGTGGCGACAAAAATGTGATCTGGGAATCCCATTATGGTGGCGATTGATTTCATTTTTGAAATGCCTTAATCGCTTTCTCCCAGATCTCCCAGAAGTGTATCAGAAACTAGAGCTGAAACATCAGTTAAATGGAGCCAGGGGCATGTTTCCAAAGAACGTCTTCGAAATCTTTTTCGGATTCTGAACATAAGGCTACTTAAAAAAAAATTACTTGTTTAGCATCCCCGCCCGACCTGATAAAAGTCCCCGACCTCCATTTTTTTTTTTTAAATCCATCCGAGTTTAGTGCAAAAACTCTCTATAAAAAAGACTGTTTTACTTGAAAAAATGGTGATTTTATTCTTCTGGGAGCTATGTAATACGTTTACACAAAGTTTCCTTCCCAGAATATGCCTGTTCGCAGCTAAAGTGTTCGCGCGGGACCGCCAAACGGTAATTTTCTGTTTTATTAAAAACATGAACTGTATTAAAAAACACGAACGGATTTTGAAAGAATTAAAGTGAGTTTTGACTGTGGTAATATACTGGATTTCCTGCATTTAGTAGAATTTTGTGTTGCATTTTATGAAGAAAAAAACCCAAAAAAACCCGCCCGCCCGACCTAGAAAAATTAAAATGGGTGGACGCTAAACAAGTAATTTTTTTATGTGGCCTAACGTAGGGCGTCTTGCTTCTACTAATGTTACGTAAACTCACAGATTTTCTTCATAATGGCATTATGAAGAAAATCTGTGATTATGGTGCGGTGCCGATCGCATATAGTCTTAAATTTACCGCAAATTCAGCATGACCTGCCTGACTATATCGTGCAGGAACGTGCTTGATTGCAATTGCTAGCATCATTAATCCTTTTGTCGTTAGCTTAGTTGATAGTATAAATATCATGGGCTCCTCAACAATCTCGTTTTTTTCTTCGAGCAATTGAGGTAAACGTAGATTTTTGGCACTTCCAAAATTTGCGATGTTGTTTATATATTCCCTCGCCTCGGCCTTTGATGCCAACCGGGCAAGGAATGATTCTCGCGAAAACATGTCCGAACCACGTCGTCGCTTCTACATTTCTTTCAAAATTATATTTCAACCTGTGCTTTGCCGTTGAACTCATCAAATCGAAAGATGTGCATTATTAAGTGTGATCGGAATACATCACTAACACTATCCAATTTCGGTCCAAAATATTCTTACAGGCAGTGTCATATTACTCATCGCAGTGGATTATGATATCACCATAAGGCCCGATCAATTCTTTCCTTATAATAATATCACAGTAATGGTAATGGCATCATAAACAACATCTTATTATTAAACGCCGAGATTGCGCTCTTGGTCGATTCATAATCAAGACAGGCAAAAATTTCACATCTATCTGAAACTAGTTGATAGCGAAGATTAAGAATTATACAATATGCGGGCTTGGGCACACGAATTCATATATACTATACTCAACATTTAATATTAAAGTAAATTTTATAGCAGGTGCAGGTATAAGTACAGCACATCATTGACACGAATGCTTATTAACAGTTATAACTTTCATACGTCCATAGATCATACCTATATTCCGAATGCTTAGTATTATATTAACCTTTGTATATAGGATCGTCCATATGTTCACTCTCAGACCTATTTCCAGTGGTCTATATTCTTGTTTTAATCCATATCTCGGATTTCTCACGTAGATTGATATGTTTTCAGACTTTGTTTTGTACTATTCCATTGCTTAATACCCTATTACCTTAATAGGTCACTTTGCCTACATAGCTAGTATCAATGCTTATTACCCTATTACGCGTAATAACCCTTACGAAAATTTCCTATAGGAATTCCTATAGGAAATCAAAATTCCTATAGGAATTCCTATAGGAATTGAAAATTCCTATAGGAATTCCTATATGAATTGAAAATTCCTATAGGAATTCCTATAGGAATTGAAAATGGTCAAAAAAATTCCTATAGGAATTCCTATAGGAATTGAAATTTCCTATAGGAATTCCTATAGGCATTGAAAATTCCTATAGGAATTCCTATTGGCATTAAAATTCCTATAGGAATTCCTATAGGAATTAAAATTTCCTACAGGAATTCCTATAGGAATTGAAATTTCCTATAGGAATTCCTATAGGAATTGAAATTTCCTATAGAAATTCCTATTGGCATTGAAAATTCCTATAGGAATTCCTATAGGAATTGAAAATGGTGAAAAAATTCCTATAGGAAAAAATATTCCTATAGGAATTCCTGTAGGACTGGAAAATGGCTATAGGAATTCCTATAGGAAATGAAAATTCCTATAGGATTTGAAATTTAGGAATTCTTATAGGGTTGGAAAATGGTGGGAAAAATTCATACCCTATACCACTATGGCCTGATACATGCATGGGTACAAGAACTTTACTTATATAAAAAATTACACAAATAAACTAGTAATTTACGAAATAACTCCTTCCTGCAGGAATTTCTATTTCTTATAGGAATTTTTTCACCATTATCATATCCTATAAGAATTCTTATAGGAATTTTAATTTCTTATACAACTACACTATTCCTATATCGTATTTTACTCATAGACATTTATTAATAGAGAATTTAATACTGGGACTATTTATTTTCTAAGATTAAATGAATAATTACCGCAATGTGCGCGACTGACAGACTGGTGTCTAGTTTTCTTGCCACGCGCGCAAAGCATCAAGGGATAGATCATCACACATCACACCTCCGATATTTTTCAAGTCTGTGTTTGTCAATGGTTTATGTGCAAAATAGAACTATTTTTGATCGGATTCAACTGGATTTTCACTATAGTAATACATCAGGGATGTTTGCATAATGTTCAGGTAAGAATAAGTTTATATTTCATTTATAATAAAGCAAATTATAAAGGAAATACCTCCAATCTTCTTTTGTGAAATTCGAGCATGTGGTTCGATAAAATTTGAATTTGCCGCGACAATATAAACGGAATTAGAATGCTGATATAAATATATTTATAGCGTTTATACTTCAACAAATGCTACTATAAAAGTTTTATATTTGAATCAGACTTATCCATGTTTATTAATATATTTGTATATCCCAAGTGCCAACTGTATATGCCAGATTAATTGTAAATTGTCAGCCATATTTAATGCATGTCTATAGAAAATTTAACTACTTGCTCAAATCAGCAGCAGTATTTATTCATATGTTTTGTTTAAATTAAACAATTTTCATTTTGAGAGGTCTTGCACCAGTCAATGTATTAAAATCTGTTAGCCTTTATAGACATGCTTTAGTGTAATGGCAGTAATGCCAGGAAAATTATCCATGTTTTTCTATTAATTAAACATAACTATGTGATGGTATTCATATTAACCAGGCCCTCTGCTAGCTTACATTTCATGCTAACTTGTTAAGATGAATGTGCTCAACTTTCAGCACTTTTTTATTTTACCTTGTCTAACACCAGATTATTTCACAAATTCACACTAATGTGCTCTATTTCAAAGCTCAATATTTTGCCCTGTTAATACCAGACTATTTTGCATTATTTGGCGTTAGCACATTTAGATGTAATTCACCCTAAAGCCTAGTTTCCATTTGGTCGTTAGTTGTCGCTGGCACGACAAGCGGGAGATGTGAAATAGTCTAATATAATAATAGTCTGTTTGTGTGATATGCAAATCAGTCTTAATGATTGCAGAGTTTTTTGTTGACACTCTATTACATCAGCCACTTGTCGTGCCAGCGACAACTAACGACCAAATGGAAACTAGGCTTTACACTCAATCCCCACTTTCAGTACTTTGATATTTATCAGATGATTTTACTAATCAAAATGAATGTTGGTCATTGAAAGGTTAATAATTAACTGCAAAAGCTGCTGTGTGGCATATTTAGAAGCAATGTGCCCTACTTTTAGTACTTTGTTATTTTACTGTGTTTATTCTATTAAAGTGCTAGACTCTCCGCTTAGAGTAAAATAATAAATTGGGTGCATTTGGGCATATTTAATGGGCTAACAAAACACATTGGAATGGTATACATAAAATAAATGTATTTGTCTTTTTACAGCTATCAACAAAGTATGGATGTAAGGCCTCAGAGGTTCGTCAACATATGAGGACAAATATAAACAACATGGGAAAGTGTTGCAAATTACAGAAAAGCAAACAAGAAGAAGAACTTATTTTAGGACTATGTTTTGAGGCCAGTTTTAAACTTAACTTTAAATGTCAATTATGGATATTACCTATGGTTTAGCCTATTAAGTGCCAGCGCTCTGACAAGTAAAATCGTCTGGCGTTAGACAGAGTAAACTATAGTAAAATAATAAAGTAAGGCGCATCAGGGCGCAATGTGATTCAATTGGTTAACTAGACACATATATAGGAATATAGGTTAGTTAACCCATTTGGAGCCAGCATTTCCCCTTGACATTCAAGTACAATTGTCTGGAGTTAGACAAAGTAAAATAGTCTGGCATTAGACAAAGTAAAATAGTTAGACAGAGTAAAATAATAAAGTAGGACGCATCATATGGCATTGCATTGAGGTAGAACGATTAATTTGGCACAATAGGTGAAAACTATAATTGATTTGTAATGTTTAGTATAACCAATTTCTCAT